AGGGGCATTTTGCTAAATATATGCACCATATAACATATTCATTATACATTTTACTGTTCTTCAATGTTTAAGTTATGTTTGAATAAATCCATCAAGTTTTTATGACAGCCACCATTTAAATGTTTACGCTATATATGTATAAAAAAAAAAACGAATTGAAGTAGAAATATTAATATGTAACTGTAACTTTATTATTGTAAAAACTTCATTAATTTTAACCTTCAATATTATAATAATGTTGTACCAACTGACTCTCATGTATATTTTACAGCATTAGCATTTTTTTTTCTTTCAGAAAATTTGGCATGTAGGCCTACTGTACCTGATATATATCCAAAATAATCAATATCGAATCGCAAGCTTGTGAATGAGAATCGAATCGAATCGTGAAATTTGTGTCAAAACCCAGTCCTAATCAATCGCAACCTTGTTAATCACAAATGACAAAATGACAAAAAATTACATAATGGACAACATCAAGTCTGAGACTTTCTTTTGTAAAAACAAAAAAGATGTTCTTTTGATGTCTCTGTCATCTAAAAAAATAATCTCTAAAAACTTTTTATCAGACATCCCACATTTTCCTTTTAAAAGGTTTCAGGAGAACTAAAGCAGAATGACCACTATGACTGGTGATTAAGGTTCAGACTCATGGGAAATCAGAAATCATTATGAAAAGGAATCAGCCGCATGCAGTGCAAATCTATCAAATGAAGAGCAAAGTCATGATCGAAAACGACTACAAGATTATTTCAGACAGCCTCTCCTTCTCCTCTTTCCAGCCTAATATATTCTCTTCCTTTCCTTCATTACCTCCCTCTCCTGCATCTCAACTCAAGTGTTCAGAATCAGAATCAGAATCAGAATCAGAAAGAGCTTTATTGCCAAGTATGTTTGCACATACAAGGAATTTGTTATAGTGTCACAAGCTTCCAGTACACGGAGACAACAACAACACACAGATAATAAAAATGAGATGTGAATAAAATACACATGCATAAATATAAACCACAAAAAAAAAGAATAAATTGTATGTACAGGTGTGCTATAGATGGAATAGGAATAGAATAAAATAAAATAAGTTGTAGGGATGTACTAGGGTTTAGGGTGATAAATAGGTATAAGGTTATTGCACATACTTTAATTGCACAATGGGAGAACATTAACTGTTCATGAGGTAGATTGCCTGGGGAAAGAAACTGTTCTTGTGCCTGGCTGTCCTGGTATTCGGTGCTCTGTAACGCCGACCAGATGGCAAAAGTTCAAAAAGGAGATGGCTTGGATGTGATGGATCCAGAGTGATTTTCTGAGCCCTTTTCCTCACTCTGGATGTATACAGTTCTTGGAGGGTAGGCAGGGGGGCACCAATAATCCTTTCAGCAGTCCGAACCGTTCTCTGTAGTCTTCTGATGTCTGATTTTGTAGCTGAACCAAACCAGACAGTTATTGAAGTGCACAGAACAGACTCGATGACGGCTGAGTAGAACTGCTTCAGCAGCT